GCTAACTGAAATGATTTTTTTTTTTTTTTAAAAGGAAAATGAAAGCTATCACTCATGGAGGAAAGTTTTTATTTTTTAATCACATTTTTATCCCTAATTTTCTCTCTGATATTTCCAGTCGTGTTTTTCAGTCATCAGAAGCCTAAATTTATGGAAAATCAAGTATATCCAGTTATTAGTGTCAGTTAGGGAGAGGAACAACACAAAGCCAGGATTTTGAGCCAGCTTCCTGGGCAAATTGGGGAGAAATACCATTTTAGTCAGTTACCTGAGACTGTTCAAGTTTAATTACATTAGTGGCACTTGACATTATAAAATGTTTTTTTCTTTCAGATGTAAACTTCTTCCATCATTAGTAAATGTCAATTATAATGAAGTGTTTTTCCCAGTTCCTTTTTCTCCTGATATAATGGAAGAAAATGCTAATGAGTTTGTAATCCTGAAATTGTTTTCAAAGCCAAAACAAAGTCAGCTTGGTGTCTGTTTATTAGCTTAATTTTATTCTCTGTATCTGGAGAATAAATTTTCTCATTTTATTTCTTACTATACTTTCCCTACTTGTGCAATTTCTTATTCTCCCTGAGAGCTTTTAAATGATAAATATTACCAATTAGATTGTATTTCTGGGTTCAAATCAGAATGATGTTGAAGATCTTGCCCCTTGCTGTGACTCAAGTACTACTGAAAGCTTCTATTTTTTTTTCTTGAAAGCTGGTTTTTCCCTCTCTCATTTTTGATTTTGATACATAATGGCTATTCAACCCTGTGGTTTCTAACAGTTTCCTGTAGCATTTCAATCAGAATATAATGGTGACTTGATTTCTTCTCTCTCAAAGATTAAATATACCCACAATATGAAATCGATGCATTTTATAACAATAGAACAAGTTTATTTACTGTCAAAATGAAATTAACATCTTACGAAAAGGGGACAGCATCACTGGAAGAGGTCAAGAAGGAAGAGAGACATAAAGTCAGTTTTCCAACACAACATTACTCAGTGTCTGTGCTGAAAACATGCTTGACAGAAAAGGTCTGCGTCACCTTTTAGCAGTGTCTTGGTATACAGGTTGTTTTCCGCTACTGGGAAATTAGGGGGAAGCTGTCTATTGCAGTGCAGAGAAGGCAGCAGGCGTGGGGTTCCAACCTGTAAGAATGCTTTGTAATCAATGCCAAAAAAAAAAGTATGACCAAGAGAAAAAGAAAGCCGTTTAAAGTTACTTTAAAATAGCCAAAATAAAAACGGTAAATTACATTTATAGATAATATGTTCTGGAAAATATGAACCCAAGCCAAATATGGAAAATTTTTAAAATAGACTAGTTATAACTAGTTATGCTCCCCCAGAAATCTTACACATGTCACAAAAGCTTTGCTCATTCTTTGCGTTTTAAACAGTCTTGAAGTTTGATTCTGGTATTTTATCCATGTTATCTAATTTTCTTCTTTGTTTCACAGTTGGATATACTGCTAACTGAATTAAATCCAATGAATATATAAGAATATCCAAATAAGTTCAAGATTTGCTTCTTTCTGCCTAATTTGTATATTTGTCCCAATGAGCTACACTTTACAACATCTATGTTTATCCCTAGCATCTACATTTTTATTTTAAAATATTTATAAAATAGTAAGCAAAGTACAGTAAAATATTCAAATAGTGGCCAAGTAATTTCTATCATATTGTCATGCAATTATGCAGCATTGCATTTTTATTATTATGGCTGGGATTCGATTCTTTTTATAAATTCATTAGTCATTTATATGCCTTTTCATAAATAATTTTTACTATTAGGATCACGAGGTCAGGAGATCGAGACCATCCTGGCTAACACGGTGAAACCCCGTCTCTACCGAAAACACAGAAAATTAGCCGGGCGTGGTGGTGGCGCCTGTAGTCCCAGCTATTCGAGAGGCTGAGGCAGGAGAATGGTGTCAACCTGGGAGATGGAGCTTGCAGTGAGCGGAGATGGCACCACTGCACTCCAGCCTGGGAGACAAAAGTGAGCCTCCGTCTCAAAAAAAAAAAAAAAAAAAAAAAGAATATTTAACATTTTTAGTGATGTCTTGGTACCATTTTACATATTAAATATATTAACCTTTGATCTCTCTGGTCTAAGGCAAATATACTTCCCAGTTTATCATTTGATGTTCTATCATTTTAATTTTACTTTTTTTATATTCAAGGGATTGACAGATTTTCATGTGGTGAAATCTACTTTCTTTTTTTGTTTTCTGCCATTGATAGTATGTTCTGAAAGATCTTCCTCACCTGTTTTACATTATTTCTGCTATTTTTAGTACTATAATCTGTTTTCATCCTACTTTTGAAACTTTATTTTCTGTAAAATTACCAAATAAATACCTTCTAGTCAGGTCAGCCTTACCCCTGCTCCAAGAGTAGAATTGTTGGCTTCATAAAAATTCATACTCTTAGCTAATTTTCAGTTCCATTTTATACCCTACATTCTTTCAGAATCATTCATTGATTCCCAGCCTCCTTTGATCATTCTTCTCTAAACTTTCAGGAGTCAAATAGGATATAACACAAATTGGGAAAGAGTTGTAGGCAATCTTTAGTTTCACACTGCTGTTCATGGTGGGGTGTAAGCATCTAAGCAGGTACATACTTAAGGGTGAAGAACAGCAAATTCAACATGAGTCCTTCCCAATAGTGATCTTATGAGACATTAATTTCATTTTGATGGTAAAGGAAGCTGTTCCTGTGTGCAACACATTAGTTTTGCCTCCAAAGCCTGTTAAATCTTAGGGGTAGCTGGGATGCACTCTGCATCCAAAGGAGACATCTCTGGGATAAGAGAGTCCAGATTGACGTCAGAAAGAATATCGTATTTCTGTCCAAAGTGCTAAGTGTCTAAAGAGAACTAGGAAAGAGAAGTTAGATGCCAATCTCCAGGGAAAGTGGCAAAGAGAGAAACTGAAGAACATTTGAATTATAAGTGATGCCCCAGGTCCTGAGGAGGGAGTTTCAATTGAGGAACATTTACTCTAGTTACACTATAAGGTATATGTGATATATACAGGTCCATTTTGGTGATGTATCTGCCTCTGATTCCCAAATTTAACTGTTATATGCCATCTCTTTTGCAAGTGTCAAACTTCTGTACTTGTAAGCTGCTATCTTTATCTTGTATTAACCTTGCTGTCCTGCATCTAAGGAATAAAAGCTAGTACTTGCCATTTATTGACCAATGTTTGTGTGCTGCTCTCTGTGGGAAGCACTTTACATGAATTACTTCATGGAACCCTAACAAGCATGCTAAATGTTAGAAGGATTTGGTTTACAGAGGTTCAGTAACTTGGCCACATTCCTCAGCTATCTAATGGCAGAGAAGGCCCTCAAATCCGGATCTGTCTGACTCAAACATACATACAAAGCAGGTATTTTTATTCCCATTTTAAAATTGAATAAACGAAGACTGAATTGCAAGCTTCTTAAAAGCAGGGACCTTTTTATAAACTTCCTTTTTTCCCCACAGTGGCTTGTACTTAGTAGATAGACAAATGCATAGTGGTGGAGCTAATATATTCCTCCGATCTTAAACTACAATAAAAAGCTCAGATTGTAAATAAATATGATCTTTTTATTTGTTTGTTTTCTATAGTCAGATGCCGCTTAATGGAAGTAAACAAATGTCGAAGGTACTTTCAGTGGGTTCTTTACCGAAAAAAGAGTTTTTCAGAATATTGCAGAACTGCCATATAAAAATCATTGGGACATAAAAGTGGTTTAAAAGAGGTAGCAGCTTATCCTAGATCACAAAGAAAAGAATAGAAACAAAGAAAAACATAAAAAAAAAACCCTCTGCACTTTAACTCCATCCTCCCACATTCTGACTTTTTGTTATTACAATTTACATATATTTATATTGCTTATATCTTAACAGATTGTTGTAACTATTGTTGTTTTGATAGATTTGTCTTTTGGGCTTCATACTAGAGTTATGAGGGGATTGCTACCACAATTATAGAGTATTGTTGGTTTGTCTATGCACTTAATTTTACCAGTGGGTTTTATACCTTCAAGTGTCTTCTTTTTGCATATTAATGGAGTGTTTTTTCAAACTGAAGAACTCTCTTTAACATTTGTAGATGAGTGTGGTAGTGGTGAATTTTCTCAGTTTTTGTTTGCCTGAGAAAGACTTTATCTCCTTCATAGATAAAGGATATTTTTGCTGGGTGCAGTATTCTTGGATGGCAGGTTTTTTCAGCACTTTGAAAATGCAGTCCCACTCTCTCCTGGCCTTTATGATTTTCATTGAGAAACCTGTGGTCAGACAAATTGGAGCTCCTTTATATGTTATTTGCTTCTTTGTACTTGCTGCTTTTAGGATTCTCCATTTGTCCTTCACCTTTGAGAGTTTGATTATTACATGCCTTGGGGGAGTCTTATTTGGGTCAAATCTGTTTGGTATTCCCTGACCTTACTACATCTGGTTATTTATCTCTTTCTCAAGCTTTGGAAAGTTTTCTCTTATTATTTCTTTAAATAAGCTTTCTATCCCTTGCTCCTGCTCAACTCTTTTGAACACTAATACTTTTTAGATTTGATCATTTGAAGTACAAATATAGAGTTTGGTAGAAGAAATAAGATATAGTGTTTGATAAATCAGTAGGGTGACTATAATTTACAATAATCGATTGTATGTTTTAAAGTAGCTAGGAGTGAATAATTTGAATGTTTCTGCATAAAGAAAAGACAAATATTTAAAGTGTTTTATATCTAATTATACTGATTTGATCTTTAAAAATTATATAAATATATTAAATTATTACATGTACCCTGAAAATATCTACATCTATTATGTATCAGTAAAAAAAAATTTTGAAAAATCATTAGGGGAAACAAGACTAAAAAAGATAGCTATACACAGTGAGTACACTTTAGACTCTATTGTGACTCTTTTCGGAATTATTAATCATTTCCCAAAAATGTATTGCCTCATTTCTGAAGATTATCTTTTTTTTTTATACTTTAGGACACAGCAGGCCAGGAAAGATACAGGACTATCACCACAGCTTATTATCGTGGAGCCATGGGCTTTATTTTAATGTATGACATTACAAATGAAGAATCCTTCAATGCAGTACAAGATTGGTAAGTTAGAGCAAATACTCTTATTGCTGATAATAATGGTTCTCCAGTCAACTCCTTCTTTCTCCCCAAAGCAGTGACCATACGGCAATGTAATGTATGTGTTTACATTATACTACAATCCCACTTGTGCTTCATTTAAAAACAAATGCTGTTTATACACAGAAGCATTATTTAGGGATTGATAATAAGTCATTCTGATGATTTTTCTGCAGTTTGTTCATTTCCAGTGCTTTGCATTTTGTCATCATTGCTTCCATGGAAACTAGTGCATTGCTTTTGATTTTTTAAAATATAAATAATGAATAGTTTGGAAGTTTACTGATCTAAAATAGGGATCGAGAAACTATGGCTCATGGGCCAAATCTGGCCCACTGCTTGTTTAGTAAATCAACTTTTATTGGAATACACCCCCCTCATTGTTGTCTTTGACTGCCTTAACACCACCACAGCAGAGTTAAGTAGTTGCAACAGAAACCATATTGCTGGTAATGCCTAAAATATTTCCGATCTGGCCATTTATGAAAGAAGTTTATGGACCCCTCATCCAAAAGATTTGTTAAACAAGTTATTCAAATTGAAAAATTTTGAAGGACTGAGATAAAGGATAAGAAAAAACCAAAACCATTTCTGACTCATAGCTGCATCAAACTATCTGAAAATATTTCTGACCCTGATGAGTGTTTACAGTGCGGGTTTATTCCTATGGCTACAGTATCCTGCATTCTGTCCCACCAGCACCTTGAGAGGAGACACTGAAAAGCCAAGGAGAAGGGTTATGAGCTCAAGCACAGGGCTAAAGAGGGCAGTTTGTCTGTGGAAAGAGCAAGAATCTATGTAGGGCTTTGTGTGACATTAGGAGGGAAATGGAGCTCCCAAAATGGAGCTCCCACTGGTGATGACTAGGACTGACTGAAGAAATACCACACTATAACTGTAAATATAATCACAGACTATCTTATGTAAGGAAAACTTTGACAATACGTAGGCAAAAAAATTCTTTTTTTGTTTGTTTTCTATGATAATATTATCCAAAATGTTTTTTACATATATATATCAGTTCAATGAGGGTCAGATGCTATTAAAAATATTTCCATTTGCTTTTTTTTTTCTATTTTAATTGTTCATCTAGAAAGACTTCTTATTTACACACACACATACATACACAGTTACAATGCAAGAAATAATACTATTGGCGATAGCAATTCAAAAGAGAAATACAGGGTTATAAATTAAAAAGACAAGTTTAAGATGTATATGAAAAAATAATTATCTTCCACTGAGGAATACAGAAGAAAGCTTAAATAACTATTCTTTTTATATTATTTTTAAGAAAGCTTAAATAACTATTCTTTTTAGTAAACTAAACATTGTAAAAATGCCAGCTTTTCTCAAATTAATTTATAAACTCAAGGCAATCTCAATTAAATACAGCAGATTTTGTACAAAATGATATGAAATAGAAAATCCAGAGATAAGCACAAATCTATATGAGGATATAGTTTATGATAAAAGTAGCATTCAAGTTAGTGACAAAAAGGTTGGTTCAATTAAGAGTGTTATGACATCTAGTTAATTGTCACATATAGCATGAAACACATATTGCTATATAATATGGTAATTTTAACCTTGACTACTTTCTGTCTCAAAATGTTGAGATCCAGGAGTCCCAGGTCAGAAGTGCTCTTTTAAGTTTTCCAAAAGAACAAGATCTTAAAAACATGGAAGACCTCTGCCCAAAAGTCCTGCCTCATCAATGCCTGCTGAATTACTTAAAACTTCCTCAGCCTGACTTTCAGACATACATATTGGTGCCACTATATCTTCATGGCTTCATCTCTTACTATTCTAGAAGCAAACAAAACCATTCATTGTTCCTGGAGCCCAGCTTAAACTTTCCAACATTTGTGCTTCTTTTCTTCTATCCTTTTATTCTCTGCTTTGCATGTCTCTTTCCTCAATCTGCTACTCCATCTGCCCCAAGGCATATAGATTTGTCAAAAACCAACAAAAGCCCCTTCTAGAAACAAACCCTTTTTTTCATCCAAAATTATATGATCACTTGATTTATTAGGGTTTTTAAATTCATTCAACAAGCACTCATTGAGCACCTAACTCTTTGACAGCCAATCTGTCAGACATAGCATTTAGTACCTATGCCAGCATTTACTATCTCAGTTAATAGATCCACCATCACCCAGTTATCTGATGTAGAAATATGAGCACTGTCTTTTATTTCTTCCTGTTTTACGAATAGAATCTCATTGACCACCAAGTTCAATCATTTTGACTTTCTAAATGCCTCTCCAATCTATTGCTCTTTTTCTTCCTATTGCCAATGTCTTAATCCAAACCATTCATTTAGGAGTCTTTTATCTTGTCTCCTTATCTCAGGTTCCACCCTCTCCAGGTCATCCATCTGATTACCATCAGAGCTACATAAGTGAACCTTAGTACATCTCAGGCATTAAAAATAAAACTTCCAGTAATATCTTATTATGTACAGTAGTGATCCTGAGAGCACATGTTAATCACCTGTAGAGCTTTGACAACATATACAAGCCCAGGCTCCACTCTGGATCTACTAAACCATATCTCCCATGAGATACATGGGCATATGAATTTTTCAAGGCTGTACAAGTGATTCTGAAGCTCATTTCTGGCTAAGACCATTGATTTATAATGAAATCCAAACTCGCTAACATAGTGGACAGTGAAACCTCCAAGTATCTATTTCACTGACATCATCTCCTGCCACTCTCTTCCATTTGCTCTATGTTTCATCTAAACAGAAATTTTCTGTTTACCTAAACTCCATCCTTTTACTACCTCTGTTTCTCTGCCTGAAATACTTTCTCTGTTATCTTTAAAAAGTCTATTTACTTTTCAAGGCTATCTCTTTTACAAAGCTTTAAAAGGTATCTCTGCCCCTTTTCCTACCCCCTTCCACCTTTATTCACAGCGGACAATACCAGCCACACCCTCATCTCTGCACCCACACTACCCTAGCACTTTCTGAAGATCACAGAAGACCTAGCAGACTCTGCTATTATTTCATTATATTTTCATTAATCATTTTCCCCATTATAGAATACAATACAATACAATACAATATATACACTCTTATTTTTTCTCATTTCTTTATCATGGTAAAATATAATGTAAAATTTACTGTCTTAACCATTTTTTCTGTATATAGTTCAGTAGTATTAAATACATTCAACCATCACCACCATCCATCTCCAGAATTCTTATCATCTTACAAAACTTATATTTAAACGGTAACTCCCCATCACTCTCTCCCTGCACCCCTCAGCAAACACCACCCTGCTTTCTGTCTCTGTGATTTTAACTACTTTAAGTAGCTCATATAAGTGGAATCATGCCGTATTTGTCTTTTAGTGACTGGCTTATTTTACTTAACATACTGTCCTCAAGTTTCATCTATATTGTAGCATGTCAGAATGTCCTTCCATTTTATAATATTTTATTATATATAATAAAATATACATTATATATCATATATGTTTTATATATAATATACATACACATACACACAATATATGTTATGTAATATACATTGTGTGTATGTACATATATACACACACAAAATATTGTATTTTATATTTATATATTTATATTATATATATACACACACATATCCATATACTATATTAATCCAATATATATTTTGAACAGATGATCTAAAGTAATAAACAGAATTACATCCTGATTTCCCAGCAAAAAATATAGAAATTACTTCAAACTGACCTAGCCAGGAATTAATGGTTCTATTCTTCCTCTCAACAATAGATTTAAGATTGTTATGTGTATTGCCACTATGGCACCAATTATATTTAACTTTTTGTTTTTCTTAAGTGTATACTTGTCTTAGGTTCCTACTAGATTAGAAACTATTTGTAGGGAAAGACTATCTTATTTATCTGTATTTCCTGTTTGACAAATAACTAGCACAAAATGGATATTTTAAGAATTATTATTAATTTCAAAAGTAAAAAAAAAATCAGAAATCTTAAGAAATGTTTAAGGAATAAGAACAGAATTGTATAATAAACAAAAAAAGCCCTTTGGGGAAAACCATTTCAGTGCAGCTACTAAAACTTGCTTTACATGTACAGTATAATTGAATGGTGGTTGTGGGTGAGGAAGCTTGCTGATATTCAGTGATGGCCTTCTACAACAAGAAATAAGGTATTCTGAAAGTAATAAGCAAGAAGAAACACATTCTTTAAATTACTGGTCTCCAAGTGCTGATCTTAAGTGTATTAAAAAATACAGAAAAACATATCTAGCAAAAAGAAAAATTAATTAAAGCTGAACTGCAGCTAAAGTTTCAGCTACTCTTCCCAACAAAATGCACTTTGATTATTCAGAAAGAAATAAAAAGCTTGCTGACTGTGATTTCTCCAGAATCCTAAAACTGTCTTACTATATAGGAAGAATTAAAGTTCCCTTTTAAAAAAAAAAATATATATATATATATTACACACAAATTCTGGTCTGTTAAGGAGAAGACAAGTGTATTAATCTGTTTTCAAGCTGATAATAAAGACAGCCAAGACTGGGTAATTTATAAAGGAAAGACGTTTAATTGACTCACAGTTCCACATGGCCGGGGAGGCCTTACAGTCGTGGCAGAAGGTGAAGGAAGAGCAAAAACACATCTTACATGGCAGCAGAAAGAGAGCATGTTCAGGGGAACTGCCTTTATAAAACCATCAGATCTCGTTAGACTTAGTATCACAAGAATAGCATGGGAAAAAACCCACCCCATCATTCAGTTACCTGCCACCAGGTTCCTCCCATGACACCTGGGAATTATTACAATGCAAGGTGAGATTTGGGTGGAGACACAACCAAACCATATCAGCAAGCATGGAGATTTAGGGAGAGTAGCAAGCAGCAAGCTAACAGATTATTTTGAGGAAATGGAAGCTATCTCTTTTTTGAAAACACATTAGACTGTGCTTTGAATTTTCCAG